TTCTCTCGGACGGTGAATAAGAGCCTGCATGACCAAGACGCTATCCATCCTGACACCCGTGGCTTCAAGGTTCTCGGGCGGCGAAACACCGGTTAAAATTTGGTAGATGGTGTCGACCACGTGCATTTTGAGGAGCTCCACGGACAGCCGAGGGCTCGCTTTAGATGTGATCGCCAGGACGCGAAGGAACTGGGTATGAATGTGAGGTCCAATAAGGTTTGTCGTTCCCGGCAACAACAGACGGAGCACAGCCCTCAGCATTTCGGGTTCAATCAGTTCCTCCAACTTCTCTGGCTTGTACTTGAAGCTTTCGACAATTCGCGACACACAAAGACATCCCTGCTCGACGACTTTCTGGTCGCTGCTCGAGAGAACATTTAGCAGCGTGGGCATCACATCTCGGACAACGGGAAACGCATCATGAGGGAGGTTGCGGCAACAATTGGCCGCAGTTGTCACTGCCGTACGTTGCGTGCTTGTGGGGAAGAAATCGAGATAAGTTAAGCATGCCGTCAGGCCGCCCTCTCGCACGATAGAAGCGGGGAAGTCAATCGAGATTTTGGCCAAAGTCTTATGGACAGTTAACATATACCCAATGATAACGCTTCGCAAGTATGCGGGAAATACTCACACTGAGGGCTTGCTCAGCCAGGTCAATGAACTGGATGTCCAGTAATTTCTGGCATAAGATGGGGACAGCTCCCCCGTAAACTACATTGGCAACTGAGCCCCGTAAAGCTTCCATCAGGTTAGCCAAACAGCGGCAGGCTAAGAGCATGATTTCAGGGTTCTCTTCGCCAAACTGGTCAGGTTGCATCAAAGAGACCAACTCCTTGACGTAGGGATCTGGAGAAAATTGGCCAGAAAGATTGTCCTCATTTGATACAAGTAGAAGGTCAGACAGTTCTTGCAATGCGATCAACTGGATCGAAGGGTCTTCTTTCATTCTGAGGTTGGATAGTATCTCTCGCAGTCGAGACGACATGCCCGACATCATGCCACTGAGTGCGCGAAGGGTGCTCTGGAGCCCTAGCGGACTTCGCGAACCGAAAAGGCTGTTATGAAACAGATCTGCATCATCATCGTCCATACCGGAGGGAGTCGTGCCATCATTACTATCATTCGACGGTGAAGATTCCCGGTTCGCAGTGCGCTCATGACTGTCCAGCTCCTCTTCTGCCTCTTTCATCATCACATCCGAACTCGTTCTCGATGAGCGCTTCTTCTGTCGACGCGGCGGAGGAGATTGGGTGGCTGAGAGACGATCTGCTCCGAAGATGCATAAGTTCTCAGGCGTTCTGCGCTCTAACTATCTCTGGAAAACCTTACCTTGTGATACTTTTCCTCGATGTCTGCTGGACTTTCGCCTCGATGGCGGAGGCGAAGCCTGCTTCTTTGTGGTTTCCTCCGGGGAGCTCGATGACGGACTAAGGCCAGAGGAAATATTAGCTTGATATCGCTACCGATATGAGTTTTGCGGAACACTCATAGCGTACCCTTGTTGTGACATTGCTGGCCTATTTCGGGTACCACGTCGGCTGGTGGAAGCAGTACTAGCTGGTTGAGAAGGAGATGCGAGCCTCTGTCTTTTGGTTCTCCGGGTAGGAGATTGGGGATTCGTCTCTTCTGGAAGGTCCAGGGATCGATCACGGCGTGCGTGGGCCTTGCGCTTTCGAGTTGGGGCCGAACCAGCGGCTGGAATCGAGGAAGAGGGGCCGGAGCCAGCGGACGAGGGGGAGTCTGCAGCAAGTCTTGCAGCTGAGCGAGTAATTCTGGGGGACATGAGAAACTGAGCTTCTTTGGCAAGCGGGTGTTCGGGAAGAGATGGAAGAGAAGAGGTAGGTGATAAAATTGGGTTCAACAGGGTGAAAAGCAGAGCTCGTCCATGGGCGTCCGAGGCTTTGTCGCCAAGTCCTGACTTAGAAGACGGAGCAGAAAGGAGCGGTAGTAACGGGTATTATGCGAAGGTAACGGCGAGCAAACAGTTTATGAGGGGGGAAAAAGGTAGGCTATGATATGTACCTCAGGGAAGAAGAGGTGGCAATGGCGGGAGCTCCAGCGGAAGAGTCCTCAGGGTCCTGGCGGTGTAGGCGGGGCCTTTGTCTGGCCATAAGTTGAATGACAACGAGAGCTGATCGTCGAGGGCTCGCTTGTCAGTCGATACCGTTCAACACGCCATTCGAAAAGGGTTGCCAAAGCCGGGTTGGAAGGCCAGACTGTTTTGATTGTTGGTGCGGTAGGACGGATGTACTAAGAGGCACCCAGCAGGCTGACCAAGAAGCGAAACCTAGAAAATCGAATGCTGAAAGGGAATATATCGACGAAATAAGTCCAGAATCTCTTAGGGACGCAAAAAGGACAAATCAAAAGGGATTGGGGAAGATGGAACAGTTGTAGTTGTAAGGAGAGGGTGATGATGATGATGAGCTGAGGATGGGAGTTGACGTGGTTGCGGTTGGTGACGCCGGCCTGAGGAAGTGAGTCCGGGGAGCGCCAGACAGCAGAAGCGCAACCGCAACTGCACATACACACAGAGAGAGCCTATCTAGGTGAAAAGGTGTGCATTCTCGGGCTTACAATTTCGGCAGGTTTGATTCAGCATGAATATTTTAGGGTAATGTATTTTGTATTGAGAGACTTTCCTCTACCAGAAGTTCCATACTAGAAACAGGACTAACAACGAAACTCTATTCAATAATAGTGGTCTGTCACGAGACCACCATCTGATTGTGATTCTCAGAATTCGTATGGAGTCTTGATCCATCTTGATATATGAATCAAAATGTACATGGAATAGAATCTTACCCAGATTTGATCAACCTCGTTAGGGGTTTCCCGTACCACTGCAGTGACACGCATTGCTGTACCTACATAGAGCTTGTAGCGGACAGCGTGAGGCAGTGGGAATCATTATAACTGAAATTATAAGCTTCTTAGACTGTAATAGTGCTAGAAAAAACTAAAGCAGTCAAAAATATCGCCGATGAAGTGGTTCTCATAAGTTACGCATCTTAATCACCAGTAAAACTGAGTTGATCTATGTACCTTCCAACCAACGGACTAGTTACCAGTGACTCAGTGAGGAACTGAGGATACCTGCCAGATAACTCCGAGGACTTCGGTCCTCCCAGATTCAAATATTTCCACAGGTCCAATGGTGTGCTGTCGGAGTAGTGATTGCTATCAACTACCACTAGGTGTCTGCTAGGGTAGGACAAGTACGAAAGGTGCCATAATCACGCACCCAAGGCTTCAAGCTTGGACGGACCCGCCCTGAAGTGGAGTGAGGAAGACGGAGCTCATTCTCGTTGCTTGTCTCTTCAGACTATCAGTTATAAGCCTGGGGCACTGTAAGGCAGTTGGAAGGGTCATTTTGGAGATTCGCAAGAAGGCCGGGTCCAGGGTTTGCTTGGTTGGCGACAATCGGATCATGAGTAGATTAGTCCAAGCTAGTGGAGATATATTCTATCCCTCCTGTAGAGATGTTGGTAACTCGAGGAAACAGGGTGCCGAACCCATGGATGTCAGAAGAGAGGGCTGCGACTGGTGTTTCTTTCCCTTCTCACAAGATCTCAGAGACGCCGGGATGGTCTTTTCGCTGGGGGGAAAAGTTTGATAGTAGTAGGGATCTGTCCCCATGAGGGAACGGTTCTGGAACCGAGGGCAGCTTTCATGTCACCGATGGCTGATGGTGGCATATAAAGCATTTTGATGAGGGGAAGGATGCATGAAAGCTGTGGCTCACCCAAATGACGTCTGATATTCTTGTTAGAGTCTCGAGATGGTGCGAGATTAGTCCACAATGACATGGTTACGTCGCTACTAACCCAAGCAGCCCATGGTGTGAGTCCATGTTTATTTCAACGTAGACCTTCCAGCTGTCGGAGTAGTAAGCCCACTCCGTTATCGGTGCGATGGCTTATCGCCGACTCTTGTGTTATACCTCGGTCGGAGACATTGCGAGATGATCATGAATTCATGATCACCTTAAGAAGACTTTCAATGATTCTGCATCAAGTTTCTACCTAGATGAGCATTCTTAGCAGGACTGTGGATAACGAGGATGCTGTTCACTCGAAGCGGAAACCGAATCCAAGTCATCTTCTAAAATATGAACACTTCTGGTGGTGTCTGCATCAAAGTCTCCGTGGTTGGCAGGAGAGAAGCCGAATATTAGAGCATAGGGGACTCGAATTCCTTTATTTTGATGTGCACCTACAATTCAAATGAAGAGGATGATAGATCTGCCGAGGTAATAATCACTACGAGAATAGGTGAGGCTGCAAGAGCCAGGGCTGAAACGGGGTAAAATTGTAGGCATCCATCTTTGCCTGGAGACGGTGACGTAGGTCGCCTATCAGAGAGAAGAGGCCGTCCCGCCTGGGAGATGGATCATTATTATCAATATAAAGTTATTGAGGACAACCATTAGACAGACATTCCCCCATATTCCCAAGCTTTGATTGCGAATATTATTCTTGCAGAAGGCAGAAGAGTGACTGGATGTTTCTCCGTGCGCTTTTCCGCCAGCCAACTTCTCTAAGATCAATGAGGTGATTCTCCGATTCACACCGATCGCCATCTTTGTCTTTTCTTCCCCTCTTCTCATCTTTCTTAGCTCTTGCTTTCTCTGAAACATTTTACCTACTTCATCAACAATCATTCTCCTTTATATTAAAACTACGACAATCCATCAAAGAAAAAAGCACACTAGAGAGAGGGATTCCAGGAGGAGATTTATAGCATTCTTCCATCCTGCGTGGCCATCGGTGTCTCTTCTTCCTGCTCAATAAATTTCTTCTTCCCCGCCTCCCCCACGCCGCCTGACTAAACAATCCAGTCTCCGCCCGCATTCATCCATCCTGCTACATTCTCTAGTCCGCAACTCAAACCATCCTTTTCCGATTTACTCCCATCGATTTGCCTCTTCCGCAAGTTATAACCTGCTCTCCTCCCGCGCAATCATCTATCACCGCATACCGAATTCTCAGATTGCAATCATGACAGACATGGTCGGAGGACAGAGCGACGATGTCCACCAGGTCCCGCCTCCTCTTCCACCGGCTCCCATGGAGAACTACACCTTTCCTGAACATCGTTTGAAGCGCAAGATGGACGACCCGGAGAAGACCCCTCTGCTCCTCGTGGCTTGCGGTTCCTTCTCCCCCATCACCTATCTGCATCTTCGCATGTTTGAAATGGCTGCCGATTACGTCAAATTCAGCACGGACTTTGAACTCATCGGTGGATATCTCTCACCCGTCTCAGACGCGTATAGAAAGGCTGGTCTAGCCAGTGCCGAACATCGGTATGAAATTTAGCGGTTAATTTATCCGCTCGTTCAGATTGCTGACGACGTCTCTTATGACTCATCAGGGTTGCTATGTGCCAACTCGCGGTTGATCAAACATCGAATTGGTTGATGGTCGATACATGGGAACCGATGCAGAAGGAGTATCAGCCAACTGCCGTTGTGCTTGATCATTTCGACCATGAGATCAACGTTGTACGGGAGGGTATTGATGCTGGAAATGGTATCCGGAAGCCCGTCCGGGTGGCCTTGCTTGCAGGCGCTGATCTTATCCACACCATGTCAACTCCCGGAGTATGGAGTGAGAAGGATCTGGACCACATTCTGGGCAAATACGGTGTATGTTCAAATATGATGGACCTTTTAACTCGGATTGATTCAGCTCACAGTCTTCTAGTCTTTCATCGTGGAACGCAGCGGCACGGATATCGACGAGGCTTTGGCAGCGTTGCAACCATGGAAGGACAACATCTACGTGATCCAACAACTCATCCAAAACGATGTCAGCAGCACCAAGATTCGACTTTTCTTGCGACGCGAGATGAGCGTGCGCTATCTCATTCCCGTCCCAGTCATTCACTACATCGAGCAGCACCATCTATACGAGGACGACAGCACAACAGCCGCCTCGTCCTCAGCCGATAAAGGCAAAGAACCATTGCAGACAGGGAAATCAGGCTGAACTCCTAGATTGCCCCAAGATATTGCTGCATTTGTACTTTTATGAACTCTCGACACCTTGAGCTACACTATGATGCCAGCGAGCGCGTGAAGCAAAGGCCTGCTTAGTTGGTGGCTTGACTAAACCTCCCAGTCACTTTGAAGGCCGATACTGGGGGCTCCTCCCGCATCTTTGTTCTGGTATTCCGCCATCCCTATTACAATGGTCGCTCGCATTCGGTCCTCCGTCCCGTCCGCGGCGAATGGACGAAGCGTCATGAGTTCCCAAAAGCCAACCGCTCGGGAATCCCGGTATCCGATTCAGCATCAATGATCTTTGTTCACGAGCATCGACGGCAGGCCGCGGCACTGCACAGGTCCCCACCGAGCCATTCATGGGCCGGTGGCTCTCGCAAACGACATTCGCTGGACCAGTTGTTTCGAGACACCCGGATTCGTCATCTCACTTTGCGCAAAGAGCATGATATAGACTTTAATTGCGTCTCTTATACCCCTTTTGAATGACATAGACGAATATAGAGTTAATCAAATTCGCAAACTCTTTACTATGATCTGCTTTCGCACCTGTCAGAATTGATGCAAAACATGGCCTTGGCCTCTATGCACCCGTTGATGAAAATACCAATCACAAGTCAACCAAAGTGCAAGAAATAGTGGCGCATGCATGGCTTGCACGTAGGTCTCGATTTAGCTCGTATTCACACCCATGAAATTCGATAATATGCATAAAACAGAAAACAATCCTACCAAACAATTTATTGAGCGGCGTATTGCATGATCGATAGAAAGCAAATACGTCAGCTGGCATTCAGTCATTAACATCGTCTATATGTACGTATACAAGTCCCATTCCTTCCAGATGGTAAATGTAGTGAGAAATCAATTCAACCACAGTCACCCCAGACTTCCTCCGCCTCTACAACGCCAACACACTCCTCGGGGTTCTCGTCGTGCATCACGGCAACTACCTTCACGCGGGAACCGCATGCAGCGTTAGCTTTCGCGATGCGACGGCGGACATCATCGAGTGTGCTGGCGCCCGAGACACGGAGCCAGTCACTCCGGGTTACGGAGAAGGGGAGACCTAAGGCAGCTAGGGCGGAAGCGCTCAGGTCGACGTTACTACTCTGCGAGAGGGAGCGGATATGGCTTGGCGGGATGATCTCCGACGGCGAGAGGGCAACCCACGACTTGGCGTTGGGGTGCTGGATTGCTGTGAGTAGGACATCGAGGAGACGGACCTCGTCTGCTGCGGAGACGGTGGGGATCTGGTCTAGGGGTACGAGTACGTCTGTGATAAGGGGCTGTTGGCGACTGGCTGGTCTCGGGAATGAGACGATCTCCGAGGAGGCGGTCGATCCGCTCTGGATGTAGTCTGATGAGATGGACGTTATTGACATGCTGGAGGGTGTCAGGACTGCCGCAGCGGAGGCAGCTCCGATCGCGCCGCCGGGATGGAACCCCTTGAAGACCTCGGCGGGACCTCTACCGGGTGTATTATGCAGTCGTCGTGCGGTGGCAATAGCCAATGCGTCTCCCAACGCCAGCGCTACTGTCGTCGACGATGTCGGAGCGCGGACACCTAGCGAGGACTCTTCATCCTCGTGGATCGGAGCTGGGAGGAGGATACCCATGTCGGACGAATGAAAGGACAAGATCGGGCAGGTATCCGGATGCATGTGCGACGTGATGGCAATGATGGGTACAGTCGAGGGAACATGCGGCAGCAGAAGCAGCAGTTCCGGCGTGCGGCCGGAAAACGAAATCACCAAAAGAGTATCATGCTGCGGGCGATGTTAGTAGTCTATAGCACTTTCCCATTTGAAAATTCTCAAAAAGCCGCGAATATCCGTACCGGTCGAATCATCCCTAAATCGCCATGCAAAGCTTCCGTCGGATGCAAAAATGCGCTGTAAATACCCATACTGTTCATCGTCGCCTCCAGCTTCTGTCCGATCTTGCCGCTCTTGCCCACGCCGCAGACGACCAATTTCCCGCCATTTCGGACGGTGCGGACGATCTGACTGACAGCCCGCGCAAGGTTCTCCTGCGCTAGCCGGTCCGTCTGGTAGATCTGCTCTAGGTTGGCAAGAGCGGCACGCTCTGTGGATATGACATGGATGGCTGTTGTTACCGCAGCGGCATCCTGGTGCACCGAGGGAAGCCCATCCACCAGATCTGGAGGAGTCATAGGCAGGAGAGAGAAGCCATCGAGGACGGAGGTGGTGGACATCGTGGGAGGCGATAACGGCAATCGGGGCTGTTGCAGCTTGGGGTGCCCCATGATGTTCAATGGACCATTATCGAATGAGTGGACTGACGGGGGAGGATCTATCCAAGAAATAGCTATCCCCTAGATCGCCATTCCCAAACGACGAGGGGATTGGAAGAGGGAAGAGATAGTAGCCAGGGGGAGAAAATTCTCTGGTAACAAGCGGGGGGAGGGGAGGAAAGTGGAGGAAGAAGCCTTGGCCGCAGGGGTTGCTATCAGTATCTGGTCATCTCAGAGATTGGGTGGGTGGAGGAAAAGGCCGAGGAGCGAAGTTGATGATTTCGAATCAATAATCATAATAAAACTAATAATCTAAGACATCGTCAGACTGCCCATTTTTTCCGTTGTTGCGGCGAATGTATGTCCCGTCTCGGCGCGGGATTGGAGGAGGACGAATTATCTTCGGAGGCGAAGCAGCGGGAAGAGAGAGCACTAGCACTAAGGCGCCATCGCCTCCTCCACCATCGCCATATCTGACTGTTCCGTCGATCGATCCGATTTGTAAGAGTCACTGAGGAGTCGATTCCATAATGAGGGTTACATTATTGAAGTATTTTTGTTGTCGAATAGATAACACATCCACAGATAAGAATTGTGCCAGAGTAGATAATACATTCCCGGAATTAATCTTGTATGCCACAGTTCTATAATACAGAGAACAGTTCACTTCGTCAAAGGCTTGATTCCCTTGTGGATCGCCGCAATCCCACCAGTGAGATTCTCGTATCCTCGGCCGGGAATCATAAATCCAGCCTTCTGAATCATAGACCGGAACTCTTCCTGGCTAGGGAACTTCTCAATACTCTCGACAAGGTACTGGTAGCTATCCCGGTCGCCGGCGACAATCTGACCGATGAGTGGAATAGCGCTGAAGCTCCACTGCTTGTAGATAGCATTGAATAGACTGTTGTCCACCTTGCTAAACTCCATGCACGCAAAGACACCGCCAGGCTTCAGGACTCGGAACGCCTCCACTAGCGCAGCCTGCTTATCCGTAAAATTACGGATGCCGAAGACAACTGTATACAGGTCTACCGAGTTGTCCGGGATACTTGGCATGTGTTGCGCGTTGGCCTCCATGAAAGATAGCCGGGGAGTATTATAATAGGGCGTGTCGATGCTCCGCTTCTTGCCCTCCGCCAGCATGTCGGGGTTGATATCGGCAATAGTCACCCGCGTCTGATGGTCGTTGTTGATGTTGGTAGCGTGGTCGAGCATGCGGAATGCGATGTCGCCGGTCCCGCCAGCGATATCGAGGATATTCCAGCCTTTGCCGGTGGTGTCGTTGTCGCGAGATGGTAGGGCGGACCCGGGGTTCAGCGATCGTACAAAGTGGTCTTTCCACAGACGATGGATCCCAAGGGACATGAAGTCGTTCATGGCGTCGTAGGAAGCTGCAACGGAGCTAAACACCGTCCGTACTGAGGCGCCTTGTTAACATGCATCTTCTGCCTTGGGATTTTTCCGCCAAATCAGAGAAGGAAATCACAATGCATGACATACCCATAGATTCTTTTTGAGATTCAGGAACATTCTTGAAGCCGAAATGGGTCATCTGGTCGTCGTGATTCGTCTTGCTATCTTGTACTCGCAGAGAGCAGGAGAAGCATCGGTACTGGCTCTGGGGAATTGCAACCCTTCGCTTTGCACTGTAGTGCAGGCTTCTCCATAGTGACCGGGATGACATAGCGTGGTGATATTCAACGAATTGGGCCCCAACGTGAGGTTGAAATGAAATGCTGAAGCCGAAGAAGAGGTTGATGGTGTTACCTGGGCAGAGCAGCAGAGCTCCGAAAGTAGGTAGCGTCGGAGCACTTTTTCTGCCGGCCGGATTCTCACGCCGCTCTTATCAGCCATCATCGCTCCGTTGAGCAATGATTTTTCAGGAAAATGAATCTGTTAAGTGGAATTACCGGGAATGCTAGCTAGAATAACCGCTCCGACAGGACTCTAGTCATAAGAGATAGGTTGCTTAAATTACAGGCTTTCTTGTCAAAAGCAACTCCCCGAATGGAGATGAACAGTCGCCGGAAGAACGTGCCAGTACAACTGCTACTACCAGCTTCTTCAAACGCTATCTCAATTCTGTGCTGAGCAGGTCTGATTTCCTGCCAATCTGACGCACCACCGGCAGGTTAATCTGGCTATAAACTGCTTTTAGCTCCTAGTCCCTCACATTCTGATCCCAGAGACTCTGTACTGTCACCCGCCGCACCCAATCATCCGTGACATTTCCTTCCTGGACTACAAAGGAAACCTCCTTTTGAATCCCTGGAAGTAGTACGAAAGCATTCTCCTCAAAGTATCCTACTGCACCCGCCGGGTAATCGAGCCAGGTGTAAAGGGAAACCCCTCCGGTAGCCTGAACGGTAAATTTCCTGCTTTCCGCGCTGTACGAGAGCTCGAGCTTTGGGTCATTCAAGGTGAGGTCTTTGGGAAAGACTGGCGTGAAATGGTTCTGATGGACAAGGGTCTTTTTATTACTTGTGTTTGGAAGACGTCCCTGGCCAGAAAGAGACATGATGAGAATGGAGTCTCTCAGATCCGGCAGAGAAAGCTCAGAGATATTGACGGTGTAAATGTTGGTCGTGTTAAGGGCACCCACTGTGAAGTTGACAGTTTCGGGCGTGCCAGCATTGTTAGCAATGGATTTGCCTGACAGATCAACCCAGGTCAGGTTCACGGTGCCCTGCGCGGGCTCCCACAAGTCGGATGTCACATACACTTCCAAGAGGCCGGTGGTGTAGTTCCAAAAAGGCGACACAATAATAGGCTGATAGATGTCTCTGGCCACATAATGAAGAACCTTCCACCGGCCATCATACTCGATTCCAGCCCAAGTTGGTGCTTGCCAGATGTCCTCTAGCTGCCAGTACAGCGATCCTAGCTGACGCTCTGGCATTCCGCTTCCTCGGCGGTAGAACTGAATCTGGGACTTATACATATCGGCTTGGAAGAGTTGCGTTGCATGGCACCAGGCACTGAAATTGGCAACAGAGTCGGATTTGCTGGGTACTGGATAGTATGCTTCCACGCCCATCGTCATTTCACCCATTCCTTTGGACGAGTTCTTGAAGTTGTCAGTGAACAAGCCTCCGGCAGTGTAGTGATGGTTGCGGAGCATCACCACACTGCTGTTGAAGTGAAGGTCTTCGGGGTCAACAGCTTGCTGCCATGTCTGCAAACTAGGCATGCTGTGGAAACCGAATTCATTTGCAAACCGGCCGACGGGATAGTGGTTATAATTGAAGGAGACGCTCGTGTTGTAGTTATAGTAATCCGTGTCGCCATAGTATGAACCCGGAGTCGTATTTGAATACCTTTCTGCCATAGGCACAGGCGCAGAGAGATTGACATACAAGTACCCTTCAGTCGTGCTGCTGGGGCTGTATGTGATCGAGCGTGTGTTCTCGTACACGAGGGGCAAAATCAGACTGATATATAGCTTTTCGTAATCCCCAACGTACTTGGAATACCCCGTGGGATCCGCTGCCTTGACCATCGGAAGCATCAAGCTCTCGATTTCATTGCCGCCTGCCCACAGAGCTAGGGACGGGTGATGGTTTACTCGACGGACATTGTAGACCACCTCGGCCGCAATATTCTCCAAAAATGCGTCATTAACGGGGTAAAGTGCATCACTGAACTGAAACTCGCTCCAGAGCAAGATACCCTTTTCATCGGCGAGGTCATAGATAAAGTCATGGAGATATGCACCAGAGGCCCAAACGCGAAGCATATTCTGGTTTCCCACCGTTACTGCATCAAACAATCGTGCCATTCTAGCTCGCGTCACCCGCGGCCAGAAGGCGTCCGGAGGTATAATGTTAGACCCTTTAGCATAGAACGGTTGTCCATTGATCTCAAAGTGCCAGTTTGCGCCGGGTGCAATCCCCTGGGCCAGCTGCTCATCAGTGATATTCCTTTGGTTAAGGAAGATGGTACGAAAACCGGTTCTTTTGGTGACCTCGGCCAGGGTCTTTTTCTTATCATTCTGCACAGTGACAGTCACGTTGTACAAGTTCTGTTCACCCATGCCAGTGGGCCACCATAGTTTCGGAGCACCACTGTCGACGGTCGTGGTCCCTGTAATGGAGCTTCCAGACACCGTAACGTTTTGGAGGAGTCCTGAAGAAAGAACTGATCCCGTCGCGGCGTCTTTGATCTCGATCAACATGGAGGGTTTACATGGCACAGGACCTAAGAAGTCGATACTCGCATTGACAATCCATGGTTTGCCCTGATCAGGGGGAAGATAATTGATCTGGCCTTGTCGGTAGATGTCTAGGTCAGTATTGAGAGCGTAGAGTTCAGCATGGCTGTTTTGAACAATGTATGCGGGCTTCCATGGTCCAGCTGGAGCAAAGGCAGGTCCCCAATCCCATCCGAAGTCCGATTGTTCTTTGCGGATAAACCAGCGGTTTGGGTACTCGTTGGTAATTTGTATACCTGCAGGCCATTCTGTAAAAGCATGAGTTTCAATCACACAAGGCAGGAATGGCAGGAATGTCGACGGGATCCCTGACCTTCCGCATCGGGGCTCTTTGCAATCGCATTTGCAATGTTTGGGGCGCTCCCGAAGTTGAGCTTAAGCACTGGACCTTGTTTGCATTCTTTCAAGATCTGAGATACGTCGAAATGGTATTGCCGGAATTGATTGTCTGTTGAACCAACATGCTGGTCGCAGAACGTGATCGTCGCGAAAGTGTCCAGTCCATCAAAGACCAGCCACGTGGACTCGAAGTTTTCAAGGCTGTGAAGCATCAGCAGTCGGAACGATTAGATGTGATGTGTGTAGATTTTTGGCTATGGGTACTCACAGCCCTTCGATCGGCTTGCTGGTATAGGTCCAATTCGCATCAACAATCCAACGAAGGTTGAAATCATTGAGGCCGTGATATCTGCGAAGGGATTAGATTAGGATTCTGCTTGCCATCTAGCAAAGTGAAAAGACGCACGGATCAGCTACACGTATTGTTAGATCATGCAATCAGATGTTAAGAGTCGGTGTCCTCATACTAATAACACCTGCCTCAAACAGGTCCAGGTGCACTTGAGAAGGAAGATGACCTGGCACCGTTCTATTTAAGGCTGTGCTGCTGAGAGTCCAACCATCTCCACTCAGGTCCACAACATGCTGGCTAACAACTGAAGGTAAAGCGGGCGTAAGCAATGCTAATACCGTCTCGGCTTTTACATGCATGACGACTAAACTGTGCTCAAGTGCTCAGCCGGTTAAAGACAAAGCGACTCCATGAGAGACTTCTTGGTCTTGGACTCGAAATAAGGGCAGCCTTTATAGGATCCAACGCAGACCGTCTCTCGGCATTCAATCCGATATCAAGTGTAGTAAACAAGCATTCAGCCACTAAAACTACCTCTCTCGCGAGTGACGACAGGTCGATCAGTACCAGGCGGGGAAGACGGTGCTAGGGCCGTGTTGAATCAGGTAGAAGGGATGGATTGGAGGTTCCAGAAATGATGTTTGTTTGAACAGTCTGATCATGCCATGGATGCAACAATATTCAATGCAATGATGCAACCGTGGTCTGCGATGTAACCAGTAAGTGATCCAGACTGGGACAATCACAGCAAGCGGGGAAGAGAGGAGAAGATCGGCGCTGTGGGGGTGAAGGAGGCAAGGATTTTATCCCAGAGACTGCGAGACTGATATCTTATGGTTAGCATACTTGGAAGAACTTGGAAGTCTTTGATACTCACCTATAGGTGCAATGCTGAGTCTCGTGAGAGAAGAGGATGTTTCATGGCTTCAAGTCAAGGGATAGCTCGGCCGACAAGGACACAAGACCCAGGGAGAAAAACCACCGAGACAGTCTATTATTTGGCTACCATTAACGTACCATAAGGTATGATTCACTAGTATGATAACCCAGAGCAAGCAGAAGTTAACCTGGCCTTACACTGTTATAATCTCCGGAATGGAAAGATAAGGATCGTAATGCAGGATGGTTTACTGGGAGCATCAGTGTAATTGTATATATAGTAACGGGATCGACTGCTTCGCAGCGTTCATAACACGCCGATAACCAACACGACATGATAATAGCGATAGACCTCTTATTTTGTCTTTTCTTTACACAAGATAACTCTACTGCTCACAATTTTGTACATGCCTAGCCTTGGGTAAGCGTTTCCCGGGGTTTGACTCTATGAAGACAACAGTGGCCGTTTGAGACCAAACCAAATCATTGAGATTTCTGAAGATTAACTGAAGGCATAAGCATAGCAACTATATAGGAACAGGTCTCATTGACTACTTGAATAGATATATTCCACCCATTTATACTGCTCATTGTTGTCGGTAAAACTGCTGTACTATCGCCAAAGCCACGGCTAAGTGCGGGGATAACATGACGTTGGGGCCGACGCCAACCGAGTCCTCCGCATTTCCCCAGAATCATAAGAAATCAACTCCTGTCGGTCCCTGAATGTAAAGGGTATCGTGATTCTTCCTCCATCTTAATCAATGAGTTTCTGCTACATTGCAAACTTTCAATCATGCCGTTAAATCTTCTGGCCCGGTTACCGCGGCCAGCGCGCATCCAGCGGACTCTCATCCCTTCCGCCAAGCGATGGGGCAGTTCCATCTCCCAGCGGCCAGGATCGGATAGGTATTTGGCACACTCTCATGCTCAATAGGATAGAATGAAGGTGTCTAACGGAAATGTGGCAATAGAGTCCGCTTCCCTGGTGCTGTCAACAGCAAATTCACCACGCAGATGTCCTTTATTAACCCTGTCGAGGAGTCGAGTATCCCTACCTACCGAGTGATGAACTCCGACGGAGTGATGCTGGAGAAAGACCGGAAATCACTCAATGTCTCAAACGAGGAGATATTGACCTGGTACAAGAACATGCTCACTGGTGAGTTTTTATCCTGGTGTATTGATTGGACGGTCACTAATGAAAACCAGTGAGCGTGATGGACGTGATCATGTTCGAGGCCCAGAGGCAAGGGCGTCTCAGTTTCTATATGGTACGAGCACTCAGCCCGAATAGCCAACAAGTCTAACACCAGAGCAGGTTTCCGCAGGAGAAGAGGGCATCAGCGTAGGCTCCGCAGCCGCCCTGACCCCCGACGACGTCGTCTTCGCCCAATACCGCGAAGCAGGCGTCTTCCAACAACGCGGCTTCACCCTCAAAGACTTCATGAGCCAACTCTTCGCCAACCGCAACGACAACGGCAGAGGCCGTAACATGCCTGTTCACTACGGCTCCAACTACCCCCGCACAGTAAGCACCCACCCACCAATTTGTCATTTTTGACCAATCTGACATAACATGCAAGCACACCATCTCCTCCCCACTCGCAACCCAGATCCCCCAAGCCTCCGGCGCCGCGTACGCCCTGAAACTCCAAGCCCTCCAAAACCCCGACACCCCGCCCCGCATCGTGGCCTGCTACTTCGGCGAGGGCGCCGCAAGCGAAGGTGACTTCCACGCCGGCCTGAACATCGCCGCCACACGATCCTGCCCCGTAGTCTTCATCTGCCGCAACAACGGCTACGCCATCTCGACTCCGACGCTGGAGCAGTACCGCGGCGACGGCATCGCCAGTCGTGGCGTGGGCTACGGCATCGACACGATCCGCGTCGACGGCAACGACATCTTCGCCGTGTACGAGGCGATGCGGGAAGCGCGCCGCATCGCGCTCACGGACGGCGGCCGTCCGGTTCTCATCGAGGCGATGAGCTACCGTGTCTCGCACCACAGTACAAGCGACGATAGTTTCGCGTACCGGGCGCGTGTGGAGGTCGAGGACTGGAAACGCCGGGACAATCCGATTATTCGACTGCGGAAGTGGTTGGAGAATGAAGGGCTGTGGAACGAGGATTTGGAGCAGGAGACGCGCGATCAGTTGCGCAAGGCTGTTCTGAAAGAATTTGGGGATGCAGAGCGTGAGAAGAAGCCTCCCATTCGGGCGGCATTCGAGGATGTGTATGACGAGTTGACGGAGGAAGCGCATGAGCAGATGAAGGAGCTCAAGCGCATTCTGGAGACGTATCCTGACGAGTACGACCTCCGTCCATACGAAGATGGTATCAAAGGACTGTAGAAATCTTGGTCTGGTGGCATATTGTTCCTTTGGCATATAGATCTGAGATACCCGCAATGGGTAATATGACTGATGAACATGATACAAGTGTCTGTCTACAATTTTTGGAGATCATAGCGCAGAGCATGCGTCCTCAAACTGGTTCTGGAAATTTCAAAAGAGTAATCATATTGGAGTATCATAAGAATGGGGCAAGGGTGGCGCGCTGAAAACGTACAAGAAAAGAAATCAATCCCCCGCACAGCTTTTCTTTATACTGTACAATTGCCATTCAATAGTGTCAAGAAGAAGTGGAAAACGACCTCGACTGACTGAGTACCACAGCACTACCATAATTGTCTCATTATGCAAGGGGCAACATATCCCAGACATGCTATACCTCCACAGTCGTAGCAAGAGCCTGCTGTGCAAGCTTCTTATTGCGCTTGAACAAGGCAGCGAGCTTTTTATCAATAGCATCTAGTTCCTTTCGCGAGCCTTCTAGGTCCTTCTGAGACTTGAGAGCAAATGAACGCAGCTCCTCATCAGTCATTCCAACAACATCGTCGAGGTCTGGAATAGTCCCCATAACCACACCAGCAGCTCCAAGCATATGTTTTGCAGTAGCAGCTGCAAAAGACCTGACGGAAGCTGCCGTCGCATTGGCCAATTCGGCAGTGCTCGCAATAGCCCAGTTATGACTACGAGTACTGTCCGCCTCCATAGTCGACAGGACGTTTGGCGGAGCAGAGGTAGTTGACGAGACAGACGCATCGGCAGCCGGCGGAGATCCAGAATGTGCTGCAGATGAAAGATCCGCTGTAGTCTCATCTACCCAGCAAATATTGAAGTTCTCGGGCGTGGCGAAGAGCGCATCCAAACCTCCACCACGATTGGTCACATCGGGTTCTGTAATAAGTGCTGCCGGGTATTCCTGGAAAGAATCGATTGCCCATCCAATGCTCTTTTCCAAGGCAAGATACCTGTCTTCTTCCTCGGGTGACAGGTGGTGGAGGACACAACCGCGAGGCGTGATGAGGCAGCGGTCCTTCAGTTGGGTAGAAGAAGAATGGAGACGGACAGGCTCCCCACGAAGTAAGGCTTTTCGGTGCTCCTCGGTCAACTCGATAGGCTGCTTCAAAAGTTCGTAATCGTCAGATGTGCACTTCATGTCAAAGCGCTGACTGAGATTCGAAGGATTGAAGAGAGGGTGATTGTTTAGATCTAACTGGCCAGCCTTGTGCAGCTGAGCAAGTAAGACCTGTAATGGCGAAGTCCGTTCCAAAAACAAATCTTTGATCGAGACGCCGCCTTGTTCAGAATCCTTGATGAGCTGTTCGAGCGTGTTCTTCGAGCGCCATGCCTCTGTTGGCTTGTTCTCGGATACGGGTTGCTTCTCTTCGATACGGGGCTTCGGAGGCTTCTCCTGCTTATTCTTCTTCGCCTCCTCAATCTTTGGTTCAACCTTCTCAGCCAAGTCTTGAGGGCTGGGCTGACTGACTTTTGTCGGCTCAGGCGCATTGTCTGTGCTCGTGTTGGATGCATCAGCATTGGGTGTCGGAGCCTTCTTGGTCTTGCGTTTCCTGCCGATGATGGGGGCTTGAACTGGCTCCTCCGTGACGGCCGGTTCCTGTTTCTTAGATTCGGCTTCCTTTGCCTTTTGCCGGCGTTCTTTCTTGGCTTGACTCTTAGTGATAGAGCGCACAGGTGCAGAGCCAATCCTAGAGGAAGCAGGCGGTGAATTGGCACGAGACACGGATGCAGACGTGTACATATCCGCTTCAGAGCCCAAATCACCGGGAGTGTCAGGTCGACTGAGCGAAGAAATGCTTGGCCGTCTGGAACGTGTCTTCAGAGTTGCCGGGAGAGAAGCAGCTGACTGAGAGGTGGAGACGGGCGGCGGTGTCTCGGTCTTTGGGGTATCGACCACGCGAAGGACCCGAGGCTGTCGAGGAGCTGAGGAGTCCGAAGCCCGGGAGACACCTGTCATAGGAGTATTTGGCCTTGACACGACGGCAGAAACGGGCGCTGCAACATTGCTCAGAGGAGCAATCTGAGCGGGAGATTCTGCTTTCGAGGACAGAGTTTCTTGGGGCTGAGCTGGTGTGAAGTGTAGATCAAGCTTCATTGGCTTGGCCTTCGTCGATGGTTTCTTGTTAGGATGACTATTATTGGTGTCTCCATCCTTCGCACTCGGTCTCCTATCATCTGAACTTGCTGAAAGCTCGGCTTTAGCCTGTGACCGAGCTTTTTGTGCGGACTTTGGCACAGGCGAACCCAGAGAAATCTCCGAAATGTTCTTGAACTTGGTGGAAGGTGGAACGCTTTCGGGAGTTTCTAGAGGCTCTGGAGACGGCCGCTGAGATTCTATTTCGGAAAAGCTTTGAGATGGTGTTCCAGGCTTAGAACGTGCGATATCGAGGCCAGGGGGTAGCATAGACATCGACAGAGACGGGCTCGACGGATTCAAAGGGCTCTGGAACAACGACGATGCCGGGTGGGCGTGTGGCAAAGGGAGACCGGGGGGAAGTGTCGGGGTCCCGGCGCGAGCGGTCCCCTGAGTGTCACTGGGAAGATGAGATCGAAGGAGGAAGCCAAAGCTGTCGACGGGCCGCTTGTCCTTGAGCGGAGTCCCCAGAGGCGGGAAATCTTCGTCCACTACTTGCTCCGGTCAGTTCGCTGAAATGCAACGAGGTGGGTGAAAGGACGGGTATCAGAAAAAAATGAACGCGACATGATGCAGACAGTCGACTCTCCAGAGCAAGGGCAGAAGCAGATCAGACAAAATATACGAAGAACTGTGGGCATGACGATTACACAAAAGTTTCCCGGCTAGGTTGACCAGTCAGGCGCAGGGCAAAGGTGTCTATATGAACAGTAATTGTGAGAATTTGACTTCAGATAGACGGCCCTGCTTCAGTTTACCAAAGTCAGGGCAGGGAGGTTAACGTACATGGAACCATGGCCAGACCGAGAGGACCTCACGGCGCTGATAGATCAACCCAGCTTGGATGCAAAAGAAAGAAAAAAGACAGAAGTACGACGGCCACCAAGTCAATGTCGGCCAGAAGAAAATGAGATCTTCATGAAAATGCGACGTCACTCATCCGAGAGGATGTTGGTAATACGAGGAAAACAGTAAAGAATAAAGGGAAGCAAATGACACATAAAAACTCCGCCACAAATATAACGCCAAAGGCATTCCGCCATAACTGCTTGCAATTTTCAGAGCCCATTGCCCAATGCTTCGTTGCAGAGTGTGAATCAGATAGCAAAGCCAGAGGTCAGACTCGGGAATCAAAAAGAGACAAATTCATATCCTGCACCACGTGAAAACGAAGAGGGAAATATGATATCATGTCGTGGAAGGGAAAAGAAACAAAATCAAAGCTCAAGCATCACAGGGAGGAAACGACGTGTAGGAGGAAAGCAAAGGTGGTCATCACAAGAAGAAAGACACGAATATGCGAGGAGAGGAAGACTGGAGAGCGACAAAAGGGAGAATGGTAATCACCAGCGGTTGAAACCGCCTCCATACATCATGGAGTGATTGTACCCACCTTGACCCTGACTCCCATATAGCGCTTGCCCAGCAGTGGTATTTGCGCCGACCTGGTGCATCCTCGCCTGCAAAATACTCGGGTCCGCAAGATCAACTACACCGCCTCCACCGGAGGAAGTGTTAGCATGTCTGTGCTTCTTCCCCTTCTTCTTCTGCTTCTGTGGCCCAGCTTCGGAGAAAGCCCCCGTCTGGGAACCATAGAAAGAGCTGAGAAGGCCATTGGCAGGAGTCAGGGGAGGGGGGGTTTGGTGCTGTTGGAGAAAAGGAAACATGAACTCACGCTTAGCGGCCTCTTGCCCTTGCAATCCACCAGCATTTGTGCCACTTCGACCTCGCAACAACTCGCGCATCAACTCTGGGTTGGCTTCCTGCTTGCCGATGTTGCCGCCCAATCCGATGTTGGCATTCGTGGTAAATCCGTGACCTTGAGCAAACATGCCGCCTCCACTGATGGGAGGAGTACCAGCTGTCTTCAGACCGGGTGGTGGACCCTGAACCCCGCTAGTGTAGAAGTTGTTGGCTAGTCCGTGCTGAGGGCTAGGTGCCGCCAAAGGGTTCGGCGTGCCGGACTGCATCAAACCAGCCTGCTGGCTGAGCATCCTGACATTGGGAAGGTTCTTTGGATTGGCATCGTTGGTGAATGAGAACCGCGAGGACTGACGGTTCTGGGCCTGTAGGGCGTTGAACTGCGCCATTTGCGACTGGAGAAGACCTTGACGAACTTGGGTGGCTTGATCCAGAACGGTCGAACCCAATCCACTCGGCAAGGGATCCACCAGGCCAGCCTGCTGGCTGCCGGCAGACTTGAGCAGCATCAATTGCTGTTGCTGAAGCGGGGTTAGGCTACGACCGGCGAGGTTGAGTCCCTGGAACTGGTGACTAGCGGCCGACACGGGTGACCCAATCGCAGAATTCGTCGTGGTACCCTGCTGAGACGGCGGCTGAATAGCACCGTGGGAGTCACGACCTCCACGGCCTCTTGGTGGGTGAGCGTCATCTGGTTCACCACCGAGTTGCAGACTTCCACTTTCTCGGCTTTCCTCTTCGGCTGCCACATTTTGAAGAAGCTCCTGTTCTCTCTTCGCGCGCTCCTGCTCCGCCTTCTCCCGCATTGCTCGACGTTTGACGCCACCGTACGGGTCGATGAACGAAGGATGGTTCTCAATAAGAGCAACTTCTTCTGTAGGGAGACCGGCTGCAGAGAAGATGAACCTGAAATCCGGGGAATTGACCGCCTTGAGTATATTTTCGAGGAGGGGTGCGATGGGGTCAGGCGGCGCCTGAGCCGACGTTTGAGGAGTGGCGGGGCGTGCTTCCGAAGGCACTGGCGTCTGGCGTCGCTCCTGGGACTGCTTTTCGATCTTCCTGACTTCCTCTGCCCCCTGTGCGACCGTGGCATGCACTGGACGAGGACTCTGGGAAGCCTGGCTGCCCGCTAGACTGGCTCGCCTGGTGCGATGGATAGCACTATCTTTGTTTGCCCAGCTGGCCGACGAGGGGAGAGCAGACCCGTCCGGTTGTCGCAAGCCAGTAGCATCATCCCTACTGGCCTGTCTGCGCATTGGGTGAGAAATAGGTTGAGCCGAGGATCGAGCGACATGTGCAGGAATGGCGTGACTGGGTCCGCTGGGAATACCGTTGGGGCGCTGAGTGGACAGTGTATTCATCGAAGAAAGATCCTGTCGGCTATAACTATCACTATCTTCGCCCGTCTCGTGCAGGAAAGTACAATTTCGATTATTGCATTGCTCATTGCGGAGAAACGATGAGCAATATTTGGTGGTCCCATATTGTGCCCTAAAATAGAACAGTTAGCTGAGAGTTGCGAATAAACTCGATGAAGGAATGAAAAGCTGGGCCTACCTGAGTACACGGTCGCCGTTAGTAGATCCGTCCACGGCAGCGATACAGGTTGCAGCATCCGCCTTAGTTGCATATGTCACGTAGACACCGATACCCTGGTTAGGATTGCCACCTGGTTTGGCCTTGCTGACGACGATTTTTTCGATCTCGCCGTATTGACCGAAATAATCCTTCCCGCGCAAAGTTTGAAGTAGTTGACTCTCGTCGCGTATTGTGGGGTTGAGGCCGATCACGTAAACCAAGTTTTTCTGTACGACCCTGACCCCCGCCAGATTCTTCCGGCTGGAAGCCTCAATTTCGCGCTTTTCAGCTTCCTTCTTTTTTGCGGCGGCAGCCTTTCGATGTTTCAACGCCAAGTCTGCTTTGAACCTAGTGTGAAAATGGAGCCGTTAGCGCCAAGAAATAGACATTTGGGTGAAGCGGAGGGAGTGTTGCCAACGCGCGGAAATGTAATACGTACTCGTCTGCATCAGGAACCTTGTATTGTATAGTGCTTTCATCATAAACGCGCCTGCAGTTGGGGCATCGGCCCTCTTCGCTATGGGTCTTAATGTTGTTGTAGCAAAATTGGCAGATCTGTTTGGTCAACGGTTAGAAAAGAATTTTGCGCCAACGCACACCGTAAGGCAGGCAGGAGGGGAGCTATGCAAGGAGTAACACACCTGATAACCACAAGGGCATGGCTTAAAGTTCTTGTCGGACAGATCAAATTCTTCAATGCAGAGAGGGCTAAGGTCGAGAGTTGTTAGCCAAAGCCGAATGACAGCAGCGCTGGGAAAGGACTCCAAAAATACCAGAACTCATCGTCATCATCGATGACAGAATCTATTTGCGGGCGACTCGACATATTGATCGTCCTTGTGAGAGTGTACTAATTGAGTACGTATGTGCAGGTGGATGCGAAACCCCAATACTTATAAGCCGAAACCCGGAGAGAAGGGGGAAGGAGGCGAAGAAACCGAGAAAAAAAAAATGATCGGTCGCTGGAAGGACAGTAAAGCGATAAGAGAAATCCAGAGGACTCTAGACAAGAAAGCAAAGATGTCGGGAAAGAGGAGAAGGAGAGAAAGGGAAACGGTGATTAGTAGGGAGCAGGACTTGCAGCAGTACCAGCAGAGGAAGAGAGAGTTTGAGGCGAAGAAAGAGAGAACGAAGTTGGACGCGGAGCTGCCACATTGTGTTTGCCTTGTTTGCTCCGTTTGCATTTTCTTCCGCGGTTTATGTCAGCCTTCACGTGACTCCATGGTTCCCAGCAACCTCGAAGTCCTCTCCGGCCAGCTCCTTGTGGATGTCTCCGGTTGCTTGAACCGCCCCTCCAACGCCTCCATTTCCTTCTCCGGATCCGCCATTGTCCTTTCACCATGGCCTCTGCTCGCTCCTTGATGCGACTGGGCACTGGCCGCTCGCTGGCATCGACTGCGAGGTCATCATCCCAGACATGCCGCGCCTTCTCCTCGACCGTACAGCTCGCCTCCAAGGGCTCAACTGTTCCCGAGCCTGAGAATATGCGCCAAGCGCACCGTCCCCGTATGCAATTGACTACAAAAGCGAGGCCGATCTTCAATGACTGACTTTGAGTATAGCCCAAGGAGCTCTTCGCGCACCGGTCGTCAACCCAGCCGACAAGTACCAGGATAAGGCCGAGAGTTTGCACAAGTACGGCCAATATGTCATGTCTTGCCTGCCCAAATACGTCCAGCAGTTCTCGGTGTGGAAGGATGAGCTCACAATCTACGTCCCTCCCACCGGCATCATCCCTGTGATGAGCTTCCTGAAATACCACACCGCTGCCGAGTTCACCCAGATCTCCGATATTACCGCCGTTGATTTCCCCACTCGTGACCAGCGCTTCGAGGTCGTCTACAACATGCTCAGCGTCCGCTATAACTCCCGTATTCGTGTCAAGACATATGCCGACGAGGCCAGTCCCGTGCCCAGTGTGACCGGTTTGTTCGAAGGAGCTCTGTGGTACGAGCGTGAGGTCTACGACATGTTCGGTGTCTTCTTCAGCGGCCACCCCGATCTACGTCGTATCATGACCGACTACGGTTTCGATGGACACCCTCTCCGCAAGGATTTCCCCTTGACCGGCTACACTGAGCTGCGCTACGATGAAGAAAAGAAGCGTATCGTCATTGAGCCGCTTGAGCTGACACAGGCTTTCCGGAACTTCGAAGGAGGCACCGCTGCTTGGGAGCCTGTTGGTGATGGTGTTGACCGGAAACCTGACTCGGTATGTCTGGTGACTGACTCTTGTGAACCGATGAAAACTAATATGATTCAATATAGTTCAAGCTCCCGACCCCCAAGCCGGAGGAGAAGAAGGAGGATGAAAAGAAATAGAGCTCCAGAATGTATCCGTATTTCCCTTTCACGTTGTTTGTATGTACATACCGCGTATACGTCGAGGAATCTGTTCGATTCAATGCCGTTGAATATACCTTCGTAGATACTCCGTAGGTGATAATCCTAATTAAAATCCCCGCCATTGGACACAGACATTGCGCAGCAAACCAGATGAACCACAATCACAAATGACAACCGGCGGTTTCAATTAAAGACCCTTAGCAGTATTTACTATAAAAGCTCATTCGATGTATAAAAACATCAACTGCGCCAGAATCCCTGTATGAGGATGATGAAACGCAACCGCAATCGAAAAGCATCGAATCCACTTCTTGGCATTATTCCGCCGCAGAAAAAAGAATCTCCGCATCTTAACTTTCCACCACCACAACTCCTACACACCACCTAACCAGCAATCCTCCCCAAGAGACGAGGCAAAATGCCAAAGCGCAAGTTTTCCGACCTAAACGACCGATCCTCCGGGCCCAGCGACATCAAACTCGCGCGCCTAACCGCCAGATTCGAAAACGGCGTGACGGCCTTATCGCGGGCCCTCAAAACCGCCCGGGCCTTTGAGCGCCAGAAACTCGGCCGGCGAGAGAAGACCGCCAAGAGCGAGAATAAGCCGGAGGCGCTGGCGAGAATCGAGGAGGAAATTAAGGTGATCAAGGTAGGTAATGCGATTGCGACTGGTCCACCAAAGCCAAGGCGCAAGTGCGAAGGATTGACGCTGACGCTGACGCATGCGACAGACTCTCAATTTCCAGTCCACGGCGGAGAAATACCTCTTCAAGCAGCTTGTCAAGACAAAGCGGATCGCCGAGTCGCCTGTTTTTCTGAAGTTCAAGGAACGGAAGAATATCTCTACGGAGGGGCCGCGGAGCACGGCTGAGGCGAATGTCACGGCGCGGCTTTACAAGTCGAATCCGGTGAAGAATGTCTTTCCGGGTATTATGGACGGGATCAGGCAGTTACTTGGATTGGAGGTTACACCGGCAGGCAAGAAGAGTGGGCCAGAACAGAAGAAGGGGTCCGCCGACCAACGCAAGAGTGAAAGCAAAGAGCAAGAGCCAGTACCATCGTTGGATGGGAGATCAGAGCCGGAGACAGCATCTGACGCCGACAACCGAAAGACTGCGTCCAAGCAAGCAGACGAAGGAGAAGAAGGAAGCGACGTCGACATGGACGACGCCGAGAGCGTAGACTACTCGCACTTTGACGCACGGCTAGCCCCAGGCTCCGGTTCCGACAGCGATGGCGAAAGCGACGCCGAAGAAGCATCACACTCCGACGACTCCAACAACCCAGTCCACTACTCCGACATCTCTCGCTCTGTCTCCCGCTCTCCCTCCCCCGAACAACCAACGAAGAAGTCCAAAAAGGCCTCCTCCTCCTCCACCACCACCCCAGCCACAAGCACAACCTTCCTCCCCTCTCTGACAATGGGCGGGTACTTCTCCGGCTCCGAGTCCGAGCCCGAAGACCTCGAGGGCGCAGCGGGCCCTCCGCGCCGAAAGAACAGAATGGGTCAGCAGGCTCGCCGTGCCCTCTGGGAGAAGAAGTACGGGAGTGGAGCGAACCATATCAAGAAACAAAAAGATAATGAAAGGAAGAATAGGGATAGTGGCTGGGATACGCGCCGGGGTGCTACGGATGGCTCTGAAGGGCCGAGAGGCAAGCGCGGGCTGGGTCAGGGACGAGGGGGCGATAGATTCCGACAGAGGGATAACGACGCCACCGGTGGTGACCGGCCGCAGCGTGGTCCTCCCGGCGGCTTCAACAAGAAGAATGTTAAGGATGATAAGCCGTTGCATCCTTCTTGGGAGGCGGCCAGGAAGGCCAAGGAGCAAAAGTCGATGGCGTCGTTCCAGGGAAAGAAGGTCACGTTCGATTAGTTTGCATATTGTCTCTTACGAATGAAGAATACCCTGCGAAGAAATTTCTGATATTGTGGATGTATATATTGCATTGTTTATCTTCAAAATAGGTATCATGCATAAAATGCGAGGCTAATAAACCGCTCAAGCTGTCATATTACAATTTTCCGATTGGAAAATTGCCTTGCCCACGTCTTCAGCAAAATGTTCATTTATTCGCCCATGAACTGCATCCACCTCGTATCCGGTGGACATCCTTGCGACGCCTTCATGTCATTCCCAAGGCCCTGCTGAGTATCAGTCTCAAAGCAGGGAATAGCAGTAAACTCGCCCAGTTCCTGCGGAAAGTTGGAGACAAAGTGGTCGAATCCCAAAKGCGGCATTTGAGAGAAGGCATGTGGTACGGAAAAGTCCGACGAGCCTGCAATATCGGTGCTGGAGACATCGCCTTCCATGGCGTCGTTGCCTGCCTCCGTGCCGGTCATCGGTGTGACAGGTACAGGAGGGATCCCTGTTCCGGGGCGCGCCGGAGTATACTGTTCAGGGAACGTGACCGTTGTCCCTGGGGAGATAGGGCCGGTCTTCCATAGCATCTCCCAGTTCTTGAAGCGATCGTAGGCGGACTCGGCGGCACCAGCATTTCTCTGAGCCTGTGTTTCGCTCCAATCTTCAAGACGGCGAATGGCCCGCTCAAGTGCCTCGATCACGCTGACGGCGGATCTCGCGGAGCCCACTCCCATCGACATGATCTTGATAAGAGCCATGCCTTTTTCTAGCGCTTCGCGCAACCTCTCTGTCCGCTTGGTCAAGCTCTGCGCTAGGATGACCAGCAGCGCGGCGCGACAGGAGCTGAATTCGGTAAAGGACGCTCGAGCAAGACCGGTTTCGTCACGGAGCAGCCGACAGAGATCGATGATCTCGAGCGCCGCCTCGACGCAGTCGGTGACGAGCGTCGACCAGTTTTTGGAAAGGCTGGATGTTGTCTTGAACGGTGGGCCTTGAAATAGAGCCGGGTTGGTGGACTTCATGCTGCTGAACAAAAAGGGTCGCCCAATGAAGATTCTCGTTAAGCAGTAGTCAAGTTTCAAATGTACATTCGAACGGAATAGGGGCCCGGAGGGGTTCAAGTCTCGACAATCGGTCTCTTCTGGTAATGTAGCCCACCAGTCCAGCAGACCTTTTCTTAGACTGAGTAATCGCTCAAGACAATCCTGCTGTTGGCCTTTCCGAGATTTCCGCAACACGGATCTTGCTAATGTCAGCGCTCGTCTGAAGGACTAAATTCAGGTATACGTACATCTCGTTTGAAACTTCACCCAGTTTCAGAGTCAACTTGATCAATGTCACCATGTTAGTGTGGTTGGACACTTGACCCGCGGGCATCAGCCCGGGAAAGTCGACCGGCATTGCGGCGTCAACATCCGCATCTGATAAAGAAACCGGTCTCCCATGGAGGATACTAACACGCCTGTTTTGATGAGCATACGGCAGCTAACTTGATGAAAGGAAATGACCTACTTCTCTATGGTGTACGCCGTCCAAAAGACGCGGTTGCGGACCTCGACCATCCGCGGATTGAGCCCCTCGCCCTGATACTTCCGATGCATACCATTCTGAATAGCCATCTTCAGTGCTAGACCAAAGTATGTATAGCAGAGTCCAGATGTGTCGAGTGGTAGTAGATATGTGCCTATCAGCAGACAGGCCTGAACACTCCGAACCGAGGCAGTGGCGATGATATCGGGAAGCAATTTCGAGGCGAACTGGTAAAAGGTGAGCCCGACTTCATCTTCCGAGAAGTGATGGTCGTCGTTAATCGATGCGTCGGCTGATAATCGATTGACAGGAGTGGCAGACTCCATGTGAGCAAACTGTGTCCCAACCGCCAGGACCATGAGGATCGAGCAAACCGAGCCAGCATCGTCGGACGAAAGGCTCGATGGGTTTGTATAACATGTGTGCATTTTTTCTAGTAGCCAGTCCTCTTCCACGTAGAAATTATTTGTCTGGGCGTACTTGAAGAAGATTTGAACCAGAAAATCTGCTACATAACGAGGCKGCAGACAGGTGATAGCTGCTGAGACCATGGAAGAGCCTGACTGTAGCTGTGTAGCCCGCCATCTCTCCTCAAATGGTTCCGCTTCGGTAGATGCCTGAATGATCAGCAAAAGTGAGACCATGAGTATCGTCAACACATACCTCTGGTGCTGCAGCTTTCATCCATTCATCAATCTTTTTCCGAATCTTCATCGAGAAGTTCAAATATGAAAACTCTCCAGAGTATTCTATGTCACGATCAGCCAACTCTCTAAGCAAACCAGGGGAAGCTTTATACATACGTGTCGTATTATCAGGTAAAGCCTTGATCATAAAATCTTCATCTTCGATAGCAAGATCCTCGAGGTCCTCGCCCTCAACACGAGTCGAGGGGACATCCGACTCGGAGCCTCTGTGCTTACTCTTCAGCTCCTCGGCCGCCTTTCGCAGCGACGGAATGTCAAAGGAGATGTTGGGCACATAGTACTCTAGAATGCGCTCCATGAGTCGGACCCGCTCCCCTTCAGCCAGATCGTGACGGCTGAGGCCGGCGGTGCGCTCCAGATGGCTGACGGTACATAATGAGTTTGTGGACAATACAAAAAGACTTATGGTGTCTAAGGAGGCAATAAACTTACGAGACTGACGATGAGCGAGCAAGTTTCTCTGCATGATCGGGGTGAGTAAAGACACACTGTCGCCGATAGCGCAGACATCGCCGACAGGGCACGCCCCCCTCGCACTTCTCCTTGACTCGTCGACAACCATCGCATCTGCGAAGGTCAATTATCGGTAACCTCTCAAAATGAAGTAACAAAAGAAATGTAGCATTATGGGGTCACGAAAGACGGGACTTACGCTCTCACAGCTCTTTTGCGGTTTTCCTCCGAAACGCGGGGACGTTTTGGATTCCCCAGCGATGCCGGCGTAGAAACATCCATGACAGTCTTGAAATAATGGAATCAAGGAGGATGATGGATAACCATTGTCTATCCCTCAGGAACAATACGAATGAAGGCCAGATCCTAGTTTACTTCCACCAGTCCAAGTTGATGTCGCACCGAGTGCTTAGCTGGGGGGGAAAAGCCGATCCGCCGGGGCGGTGTCTGTTAGGTTTCTCCGGCAGTGGGGAAATTAATAAGGTCTTGTGCTCCCGGCTGATAAACCTGATAAGCAAATGCGCAATTCCCCACAGATCAAATTAGCATTGCATAAGTACGAGGGTTATGACTCTCTACAGCCTCTTATTTACGATCGTGCTCGTAGAGAAGTGCATGGGCAAGAATATATCTGTGCTTTAACTCAGCAATTACTACTCGCGGGATTGCATTGCCACCTGATTCATGCCTCAGGCATACGTCTCTAGATATACTTAGCGAACCCACTACCTGATATGCTGCTGCTCATCCACGTTCATACGTTCAGAGTCAGGAGGAAATAAATGAGAAAGAACCGTCAGAAACCATCCACATTCATTCCCAATCCCTTCTCGACACCAATATCCAACAGTTTCTTCCCAATCACCAGATCCATGATGCCCATACCCACGCACTTAAAAACCACATTACACCCCTCCGGCACCTCAATCGGCTCCGACTTCCCCAATCTCCCAAACAACTCCCCAATCTCAACCAACTGCTCCCCTCGTACCTGCGCCTTGATCAGCTCCCCAGATTCCTCAAGACAAGCCTCCCGAGAATCAACATAGATCTTCCCACGACCCGAGAGGATCGTCTCCGTGTCAACCTCGCACATATGCGGCTTGTACGACCCAATCAACGAAATAAACCGCTGCTTTGGCGCAGACGTAGTCGTAGGCGTAGATGAAAGGTACCCATAGGGAAAATTTGGCTCCGTAGACGGCGTGCAGCTGAAAATGACATCGGACGAGGCGACCTCCTCGCGCAGCCGTGCCTCATACTCAGCATCATCAGTCCCCTCCCTGGTCAGCGTTGCGAATACGATATCCGGATAGGAACGTCTCAGCTCCGCAATCACCTCCCTCTCCATCTCCTCCAGCCGTCTGCGACCTCGGTTGATGAAGGTGATTCGGCGGACCAGCCGCGGAACCAGCAGCAGCGCCAGCCGAGCGTGCCACTCTGCTTGACGACCCGAGCCGAAAATCAAAATGTGCGTCTTAGCGATGGACGTGCAGCGGGTAAACAGAGTCATGGTAGCGAGGGCCGTGCGAAAGGCCGTGACTTCTGCGGCGCTGAGCAGGCCGAGGAGCCGGCCCTCCGGTGAGAAGATGTTGATGACCCCGATAATGCCTTCGCGCTGGGAGGCCGTGACGATCTTTATGCCTGTGCTGGCTGTGTTGGAGACGGGCATGAAGAGCGATAGATTCTGGTCTTTGGTGGTGATGGTGGTGCGGAGGGGTTGATGGACGAGACGCTCTGGCTCTGGTTTAGTTGTCTCTGCTGAGACGGTTACCAGGGCTTCGCTCAGAGCGTCGAGTAAGATGTGGCATTGTTCTGGAGTTAGGTTCCTCAGAATGCGAGAGACGTCTGGTTCGGACAGAATATGCATCTTGGGCCTCGAGATGAAATAATGTATTCCGCAGCCGCAGCAAGTTGTGTTTTCTCGTTAATGTAGAAGTCACTTGTACTAGTAGACTCTCCTTTATCGAGTCACTAAACGATCCTCTGTCCCACTGATGATCTACGGCGATGTCGGAGGTGGAGTTAACTGCGCTGGCATTGTTTAGCTGCACGTCGGAAAGAAGTCCAGATAGTGGCCGGTCCTAACCGAGGATTTAACCAATTCCTCTTTAAATGAGATATTGATGCTCAACATGGTCATTTATTTAACTACGGGTGCATCCGACCCCAGGTCTCTCTCAAATGATCAAGAAGCATACATGGAGGTAGATTGCAGACCGATTCTAGTAAAATATGAAAAAAAGTTAAGGTATCGTCTATTTCAACAGCATGAAGAATCCCCTTGCAAGGCTATAATTTCAGCAGGTATAGGAACCAGTCCGGATCAATATCCAGCCCCCGGCTCTTCAGGAGTATATTTCGCACAGTCGTCCGGTGTTGGTTCTGTTGCTCAGGACTTTTCTCACTGTTCTGATACCAGTCTTTTGCTCGACGCAGATGTTTTTCGGCGAGAACGGCCAACGCCAGACAGTATAGTAGGGCCTGAATGTCCGGTGGTGGTGAGTGGCGAGCCTGTTGAAGCATCGTTACCGACGTGCCCCAATCTTCTGAGGCGATAGCGTGCATCCACGATTGCCACCAGGTAAACTGCCAGGGGACGATTGTGTCTAATCCATTGTCCACGTGGAGGATCATTTTCGCAAGCTTGGATCCCAGCCAGGGATTGTTTCGAACAGCCACATATATCGGAAAGTTCCCAGCCGCATCGGGGATCAGTGGATTTGCTCCGCGACTGAGAAGGAATGCCAACACCGTGTAGACGTCGTCCACAAGTTGCCTTCTCTCCAAGAGCAGCATCAGAGGTGACTGCCGGGCCATGTTGAGATGGTTGACATCCGCTCCCCTTTCCACCACGATCTGGAGTAATTCGTATACTGAAGGATCATAGTACCAAGCACCCAGGAACCTAATGAGCTGATGGACACATGTCTCGCCTATGCTGTTGACTCTCGCGACATCTAATTTCTTACATATCAACGTGGCAAGCCGGGTGTCACATTTCCGGGAGGCAGAGCGAGTCTTATAGCAGTAGTGCAGGAAGTATGTCAATAGACGCTGAGAGTTCGGTCCTATCGTCACATCCGGGTCAGCACCATTGCCTAAAAAGGTCCTGAACAATGCGTTGAGGTGACTGTTAACGTCAGCCCAAGCATTGTATGAATTTGCGAGGAAGAGCTTGAACAGGGATGTTTTCTTCTCGGTTGTGAGATCGGCAGCCTTGGCCGTCAGCATCTTGACAACGTGACGTCCATGATTCCAGCTCATGGTCGGTGAGACGAGTTCCACAGCCATGTGTATCGGAGTCACGCCAAGGTTATTGGGGATATGAGGATTGGCCCCGGCCCCCAGAAGTTGGGTCACAAAGCTCCTTTGATGATCCTGGTTTAAACTTCTTGCTGAAATGGCCAGATGCAGTGGGGTATTTCCGTCCGCATTTCGATGGTCAAGGGTGAGTCGAGCAAGATCCTGCTTGACCATGGGCTCGACTCTCTCCACGCGATAGCCGAGTAGAATTTTAAAAATCTCCACGTTTTGATGCTCAGCAGTGTAATGCACTGGCAAGTTGCCCTTCCGATCCTGAGCATCAATCGGTGCACCTCGGCTCAGCAAGGCTTTCACCTCGTCTGCTTGTTCGTTGTTGACAGCTCGATGGAGCTTCGTGTAGTCCGAGTCGTCTTGTAAGTCCAAGAAGAAATTCGCAAACGTCTGGTCAATCATAGGCAAGGGCTCTCCGATCTCAGGATGGTCAGAGGCATAGGCCCCAGGACCAGTAGGGTATGTCACGGCTGTGCCCGATGCGAAGGAGACGAGGTTGTTAGCCTGCGAGTACCTGGAAGCGGAACCTTTTATGAGCATGTTGTCCCAAGTCGAAGATGTCTATTGGATTCTCACCCCGGACGCGCGTGATCGGTGAGCGGCGATAATGTTGTATCATCGTCATCAACCGGCATCCCTTGGTCGATTGACAATCCCGGTGGCGATGTACCAATGTTTCCAGCCCGTCTCCTAGTCTTTCTAAAGCCCCAGCGCCTGAAACAGTTCTTGTACGAGCGTCTTCTGCTCTCTTGTTCAGCCGCGGAATATTGACCTGAGAGACATCCACTGTACTCACGACTTGTGAAATCCCCGTCTCTGCATCTCCAACATTACCTCGGTACAGGTCAGATCTTGCTCCAGGTAGAGCTGTCTGATATCGTCCTTGATCTCCTCCCAATCTCTTGTCATGGCTGTCAAGTGTCGACAGACTCAAGTCTCCAAAGAAAAGGGGAACAGGACGACAACGACTAGAAAAGGGCACAAAGCTCGTAGCTAAAGTGCCAACGTGTGCCTTTTCAAAAGACGACTCGGAACACGAAACAAGAGGGGGGATACCGCAGGTGACAAACATGACCGGAAAGAATAAGTAGTATATCTGAATATCTTCAGTGAGGGAGCAGCCGGATTAAATGGGAAATTCCATGGCCTCATTCATTCCCGTCCGACGACACGTCCACCTAGTCAAATAATTGAAGGGCGCTTCGTTTCGAAGGGCAGCAAAGCCTGATACCTGCATTATCCTCCCCGTTCTCCCAAATTTTATTCTCACCTTCGTGATGAAGGTATCACCAATTGGCAGTGAGCTTTGAGCTTCGTCTTTCGATTGATCAGTGTCGGCTTCCGGATGGTGTTCCCCGCAGTGCAAAAGTACTGTGCTGTTATCGAGAAAGGGCAAGCTTCCAAGACGATGGAATAAGGCATAAACTGGGCTGGCGGCAAATCTAATGAAATAGTTCCTTTTTTCGGGAGCTGAAGAGAAAAGCCCCGCGTATGGCCGGCCGTGGTCAGCTGTGGTCACCTTCTCAGTGATCATAATAATAATAATATCCCGGTAATCGATCCAACATCCCGGGAGGACAGGGCCAGAACCCAGCAGCCCAGGTGAGGCACAAGACAAAAGTACCATACTCTAGCCGCGCACTGCTCTGTCCGAGCGGTGTAGCCGGTGTGAGTGTATCAGGCTGTGACAAAACTGAGAGAAAGTACGTAGAGGAGTGGTCCGTACCGACAAGGGTATCACACAAGGGTGGAAAAGGGGCAATCTCGGATGGGTAAAGAGGAAAGCTCAGGATGCGTTGGCAAACACTGATGGTGGTTGCTCTGATGATGGACATGGGTCTCTCCAGAGTTCAGAAGGGCAATTCCCAACAGGTAAAAGTTGCCCTTCAGGTTTTTGCTTTTGTCATTTGCATTTCTTTCCGATCCTAATATTCTTTTTTTAGTTTTCTTTCCTTGATTCTTCCCCTGTCATCATGCACCAATAGGCGCTTGACGTAATGCTGGGATCCTTGCTAAGATGGTGTTGCCCTAATTAAGGAGAAAGGTACCATCGTTGGGCGGTTCTTCTACAGCCGGAGAGCGCAGAAAGTGATCCCTTTCCTTTATTCATTTCTAGAAGTCGTTATCATTAATCGATGAAACAAGCTAAGGCAAACATAAACCACTAACGCCATCTAAATGCATTTCCGCCAGCAGGAGATCACGGAATCACGCAAGAGAAAAGGAAAAATATGCATAACAGCATGCAAGAGAAAACATGCGTAACAATGCAAAGGGATTTTTAGCCAGAGCGCAGGATGGTATCAGAAGTACGAAAGAAAACTCAACAGCATGACGATCAGTTGCTCAGACGGAAAGCCTGGCGGGCTCTGCGCTTGAGTTCAGCAAACATGGCCTCCTGCGATTGCTTGGTACGCCCGACTGCCTCGGTGTTCTCGACGGCCCGTCTGAGTAGGAATCCCATGCATTCCTTGACCGATCCCCAGGTGAGAAGCTTGTACACGTTAGGCGATTCCACGAACGAGTTCTTGCTAGTGGGCTCGGAGCTCTGGAAACCTTCCAGCAGCTCGCAGCTGACTTCGTCCGCCATGCCCTGGAGCTGAGCGTACGAGAGATCCACGCCCTTGTCCTCGCCCTGGCTTGCCTGCTGGAGACGCAGCGCGTGTGCCTTGCGGACAGAATCACGGTTGTGTGTGGCGATGATAACGTTAACGGGGGGCAGTTCGGTCTTGTGTTCTGCAGATGCGGACTGGAGCATGGAGTTGTACCGTCTGGTGAGGAGAGCTTCGACAATGCCATCGTAGCAAGCGTCGGTTTCCTCCTTCTTCGACCAGATCAAATGGCGAGGCTCGGTCTTGAGATAGGCTCCACGGACAAGCTTCACACCAAGGGTGTAGCCTTCCTGACGAGCGATCTCCAGGTGCTTGGCGAGAGTGGCGGGGGTCGAACACAAATAGGCCTGGTAGGTGTTGTAGAAGATGGCACGGCCAGGTGTCTGCGAATTGCAGTACTTCTGGTATTTCATGGTCCAGTTCTCGATTCCGGGCTGCACCGCCTGCTCCTCGGCATCGACGAGCAGACGAACGTTACGGGAAATAGCCAAGTCACAAACTCGCTGGATTGCTTCATCCATGAATGGAGAGGGGGTGGCCTTCTTCTGCAAGAGGTCCAACGCCTGGACACCCATACCAGTGAACCTAGGGCAGTTAGTTGATCGGCTCAAATTACTTTTTAGAAGGGAATCAAGAGAACATACTTCAGAGCGACGAAATCGCCTTCGTGTGCCATATCCACAGTCTGCAGAGTTCCGTCCAACCACATCTGGACCTCTTCGCGAGCGACCTTTTCATCACGAGGGCTGGCGTTGCTCTCACCAACCAAGACCTCCTTGGCGTAACCCAGAAGGACGCCACGGTATCCGAGATTCTTGATAGCGCGAATGGACTGCTGAACTTCCAGTTTGTTCTCACCCGCGTTAAACTGCTTGTAGATCGTGTGCTTGACGAGCATATTGAGCAGAGGATTTTTGGCAACGTCGAGAAGAGGCGTTTTGGGATGCGCCAACACTGAAAGGGTATAGATGCATGGCTTCAGTAGAAGTGAAGACGAAGAAACAGAGAGGATCATCAAGGACCGCAGGACAGATGAGAGAGGCAGTTTTGCGAGCGGCGAGGTTGCCTCCTTCTTGGGGGATGGAGGAACTTGATGCAACAGGCTACTAGCCGATGTCGCCGCGATGGATGATTTCGCATTGCTAGTGCCGCTGACATATCGGGGAGTAGGATAAGTCGTGGGGATGCAAGACACAGCCCGCAAAGGACGGCGGGGTGCCTTCATTGTTGTGGTTGATAAGGTGGCGGTACCGGCGCAATAAACCCTAGGACGAGCGACGAACAATGCTGAGGTATTGATGGATGATAATCAAGTAGTTGGAATAAGGATAAGGATGTCGATGAGTTTAGTACTCGCGATACTGAGGAAATTTAGACAGGTTATTATCCTTAAAGACACTACTTGGTGCTAAAAGAAGTGATAGTACAGCCGGTGGAAACCGCGTGAGGGCCGGGACGGTCAGTAATATTATTCCTTTGGAAAGAGGCCATGCAGAGTGGCGCCGTCTGCCAGCGGCAGTGATACAAGATTGTAATGCATTCATATCTTGGATCCACCCATAGAACAGGATCGACCACTAGTTCTGTATGCCCTTGACTGAGTTACCACTACGACGGAATCACGGTTCAGTTTGATTTCCTGTTTGATATTGACTGTTCTACTATTGGATATGATAACCATAAGAGTGCCGAGTCTAGCATGTGTAAGTCTGTATTTGGGATAAGCAGGAAGCCTCAGCTTGTGTCAGTGGCCAATGTCGACAAGCTGACATCAAGGAGTCCAAGGCTCAATCCAATCTGGGAACGATAAGCAATCTTAGGACAACCGGTTCGCGGGCCGGCCACAGTGTCTCCACAGCAGACAAGCCGCTTGACCGGGCCGGTCACTTTGCTGGGATAATGCCAAAGATCGCGTGACCGTGAGCAGGTGACCTCAGAATTAATCTAGCTTGACTAATGTGTAAGGTAATATAATAATGATGATCGCTTTGTGCAGCCCAGGTTACACAATCAAGCAGTCCTACCTCATCCTGCCAAGTCGCGTGACTTGAGGAATGAACTGAAACATGCCGAGAATAGAAGGCCGATGTTAGCCGGGTCTACTTTATGCCTGGTCTTTGAGGCAGACACACGTTCCAGGGCGTGGAAATCAATCGAATATGGCCTAGCGCAACTTGCCTAAATAGTCTTATCACGTGCCTTATATCAGCCAATGAGCATATTGGGATATAGATCCTGATGAATCAAGCTTTTCTAGAGCAAGATGTTCGAATTTTTATGCAGACCTTTGAAGGCCGAGAAACCGCCGTCAGTTCTCGTTACTAACAGCTTTACAATTGTGGATATGTGCCAGTTTCTGGTCATTCGAGGCTTCCAGGCTTCCAGGCTTCTTTGGAGAAAACCCCGCGTTTTTCGGAGAGGATCATATCCATTCTGACATGTCGACTCGAAAGAATTCTTCTTCCTTCTGCGCCGACATTCCTACATCGGTTGATCTCCGGCTCTTTTAGCATGGCAGCCACACTGCCACGGACCTTGTGCCGTCAACCCCACAATTCTCGTTCGATATCTTTCCGCGCCAATAATGCTGGGTTCTGGAAGCCTCATCCGAACACCCTTGAAGTCAATTGTAAATAATTTCGTGCAGAGAAATGGAAAGAGTTGCACTCATGAATGTGAAACGTTAGAGCTGGAATGTTAGGCTTTCCGGCAAACTGCTTCTGTCCCTCGTTTTCTATAAGATACCTTTTAAAGCGCTACCAGCTACCAATTTGTCTTTCTTTGCAGGCAGTCCTCGTAGTTGTTTGTCTTTGCCTTGCGTGACTTCAGTATGAGGCCTCCTTCGCCCAAGGGCCTCGAGGAAGCTAGAGTTGAAAGGTCTCCCTCGAATGAATATGACTACGAGGATCCAAAGGGATTGGGACACGC